CCTCACCCCCCCGTCACCCCCAGCTCGCACAGAATTAAAACCAAAACCAAAACCAAAGCAACAAAAAACCCAACCCCTTCCGTGGTTGGAACATTCAGAACGATTTTATTGAAGTCAACCTCAAGCAAAAAAGTTCAAATCAGTGGAATGTCATCGTTAAAAACCTGTCCAAATGAACCCTCACGGAAGCCAAAAAAAAAAAACCAAACCACATCTGAATTCCAAAGTGTTTGTAAAATAAAATAAAATTAAAAAAAAAGGCGACATCTCAGTTAATATAATGTACAAAAATTATATGTTCCTACCATCACACACATTCAGTAAGAAGCTAAATATTACAGGCAATTCTAGGTACACCATAACTAGTTGACATAAGCTATCTATATACAGGTTAACCAAGCTTTACAGGTTTCACACTATGCAAGAGAACATAGGCCGAACAACAAAACCCCCAAAATATCGTATATCTCAAAGTCTACGCGGCAACATCAAGTCATAATACAGTAATGCCCCGTGGAACATGGCCAGGGAAATTTAACACTACTTCGTTAGTGTCAAGAGCTTCTAGTCAACCTCCAAAAACTCTTAGATATCGACTTCAGTGAATATTGATGCTTTAAAGACTGGAGTGATTTCGTTAAAATAACATTTCACAGAATCTACAAAGTTTGTTACAGATAAACAAAGTCTACGGAAGTAACGACTCTACAAAGGTCATCCCTACAGATTAGTACATGGGAATGGGAACGGAATCCGCAGGGATCTGTGTTGTGCAACGTCACTCGCCTGGAAACACGCGGGGTTCGCTTCCCCAGCAGCCCCTGGAATGCACCAACAAACCCTCATCACCTTCTTGTCTCTGGGTTGTTTGGGAAGGAAAAAGCGGCACCAGACAGCTTGACCAGGGAAGCAGGCAGCAGTTTTCCCATCCAGTCTGTTTCTGACCCCAAAAACGAGGAGGGGCTGCTGAGGACCCACCAACCCACCACCTTTCCCAGCGGGAGACGCGGCGCTGGGAGAGGCCGCTCGGCCCTCTCTGCGCAGCCCCCCGGGGACACAGAGAAGGGGCGAGCGAATGGCTTTGGCAAATTCACACGTGTTTTCCCTTTTTGATTTCACATTAATTACACAAATCTTCCAGGCAAAGCTCAGACAGCTTCAGCTTACCAACTCCCCTCTCCAGAGCAGTGAGACAGCCCCTCACAGGGGTAACACGGACCTGAGCTCCCCACTCAGGAATAGAATATAAGAACAAACAGCCTTTCATTATTTTTTTTTTGCCTTTTTTTTTTTTTGCCTTTTTTTTTTGTCTTCCTTTTTTTCTTTCCTCAGAACAACACTGTGAATACATCCAAAGTGTAGGAGTGTATCGTTAAGTGCAAATGTTTTTGCTACACAAAGATAAATGGAAGGGGAAAGTCGGTGGAAAACTGAAAGCAAAAGGGACAGCGTCACTCCGAGGTGGCTGCCTCTGGTGCAACAGACTCCTGGAACACACACACACACACGTCTGAGACAGCTGCTTGGAAAGACTCTCCCATTTGCCATAAATCACTGTACAGTGGGAGCAGAAAGTAACTTCAGGGAAGTCGACGACATTTTTTCCATGTAGTGTACAAAACAAGTTATGTATAAATTAAAACAAAAAAAATAGCTGTATAAGGAACCGCAGAGCTTCAAGTACATTAAACCCTGAATTCAATGAGGCAGAGGTTTCCATGTTAAAGTGACAACTTCGTACCAGCGCTGGACACCCCCCTCCCACCCTCCTCCCCACCCCACCCACACAGTTCTGTAAAGTTTCAATATATACAGATTTTTTATGCTCACTGATAATTTTACGCCTAGGAATTGTGTCTTTCCTGTTCTCTCCTGAAATTAAGATACAAGAAGCTTTTTAGAAGAAAGGCCAAAATTCAACATTCCAGCCCTATTACTCCATTTTAACCCATTCTCCCAGCCCCTGGTGGTGACCAGAGCAGGTCATTTGCCCACACAATTGCCTTTAATGTTATCCTTCCTGAGCTGCAAACGCCTTCAACAGTCTATTGACAGGACAAGTCTACACTAACCATCTGAAAGCTACAAAAGCTAATGCTTGCACCATGTGTTTAAAAAAGGGTAGTGAGCAGCCACCGCACCGTTTGGCCACGTCTGCACAGGCCTGTGCTGTGCTGAGGTGCAAAGGGCAGAGAAGAAGCTCCAGTAAACAACAAAATCCTGTTAACTTTGCAGAGCAGCAGGGGCGCGGGGCGGCAGGGCCTTTGCCAGAGCGTGGTGCTACCCCCAAAAAACTGACAACAAAAGGAAAAGTGTGACAGTGCATTCCAGTTCAGGAACAAGGGACACTCTTCAACAGCCGATTTCAGGTCAGGGCTGAAATCACCAGCAGTTCTGTGGATTTCTTCCAGGACATCAGCATGAAACAGCCCAACTACCCAATTTTACCTCATTTTACAGACTGCACAAATTTAATTCAGCAGCTGATTCCCCCTCTGCTGATGCCAGTTATGAAAAAACAGCTGTCAAATCTTTTTCCTTACAAAAGAATTCCATTATTGTTCTGTTCAGCTTGCAAAAAAAAGTGGATAGAATGCACACTTCAACATTTTCTGTTTGGCATATAGAGCAAAGCCCCTACAGTTACCAAGATGCTCTGAATGAGATAACTTATCTCAGAATGTTACAGTTTTTCTGAAGGACTCACTTTCTCTCCAATGCATGAAATCCAGTTCAGACTTTTTGTTCACAGGTATGTACAAGTTATAAACCAATCTTCTGCTTTCCCTTTTTTTAAGTCCAAGCCCTGCTGTTGGCTATTACTCTTATTTTTTTTTTTTTTTATGGACAAAAGGAGCACCTGTAAGAAGTTTGAAAACAAAGTTAACCAAGACATCAAGTGGCATGGCACAGGAGTAGCAGCAGGCCTCAATTCACAGCATTTTACAAGTTTTTTTTAAGCCTTCTGTGAACCTTCACGTGCTCCGTAACACTCAAGTCAGTTTGTCCCACGTGGTGACCGATGGTCCGTGGCTCCTCTCTGCTCCCAGGGGTGTCCTGGTGCCATCACACCACTTCCCTCTGGCCCACAAGTCACCACGGAGACAGAATGAAGAGGAAACCAACCAAACAAAAAGCAAGTAAAAAAAATTCCTGCAATGTTCAGAATGCTCTGAGAGAAAATCATCTCAGCATCACCAAGCCTAATAAATAATATAAAGTAAACACATCGGGCCTCACAGACACTGTAGCAAGAACCTTGTTTGGAATTTTTGAGAAGGTTAAACACCCCCAAGTAAGAGCTTAAAAAGAGACATTTATCACACAAAATGTTAAGAAAAATAAAATCCTTTTTGTAAATTTTGTTTTGTAAAAAATACCAAAATAGAGCACTGCTTTCAAGCAAGAGTAGTGTTTCAGACATTCATTGCAGTACTGACCACAAGATGAAGTGCTTTGTAGGTCTGTACCACAAACTGACCCCCGAGATGTCTGCTCAGTTCTGCCACCCGGGACACCCCCAGTCTGTAGGGAAGGCATCTGCAGACCTGCAGAAGATGAACTGCCAGATCAGTTAAGTGGCACAGAAGCTGCTTAAAGAGACTGTAGTGTACTCTGTAACTTTACAATTGCACACACAAAAAAGAAATTTCCCCCCTGCACTTAAATTTGAGGATGAGAAGGACACCAGTCAGGGCAAGACAGGTTCTAAAATCCCACATCTAATTTTTCAGCCTACTGAGAAATCACCACATTCCTGCAGTTTTCCAGAGAAAAAGTTCCTAATTCAAAGGCTTAACTTAGCCAGATGCCAGCAACACTTGATATGAATTCCTTTCATTCAGGATTATTTTCAACACCCACTAGCAAACACCTAGCATGAAGCTGGCTAAGATCAGTATGCAATCACAAGCACTCTAACTACACTGGGGCAGGGGAGATGCAGGGTGCTGGGTCAGACTGGGGGTGAGGGCAGGAGGGTCACCAAAGCCTGACTTCAGCCTGGGGAAACCAGTCCCCTGATCCTCCTCACACAGGGCAAGGAGGGGGATAGAGTTTCAAAAGAAAAATCTGGAGCAGAAGCCTAACAAAGCCACATCCAAAGCCTCACTGAGGGAGCCTGTGTCTCTGCTGATGAAGAGAGGAAATCCAAGAGAGAACTTCCTCAGGAGGCTAGAGTTGGCTGCTGGGAACATGGCCTGTACCCAGACACAGAAAATACCCTGTTCACTGAAGAAGTGCTGAGATTCTTCTTAGCTCCATTAACAGTGAAGATTAAAGTCAGAAGACCTCAGCAAAAAAAATACAAACATTCAATCAAAACAGACACTCACACGGGTGGGATTCCTTAAACACTCAAACCTTCCTAGAAGCCAGTGGGAGACTGAGAAGGCAGCACTGAAGAAACAAACTAATGGAACCACCGCAGGACACGTGCAGACTTGGGAGATGAGCAAACACACATGGAATGATCCTCCATCTAATGGAGCCACGGGCAGAGCTCCCACGGGCAGGTTAAGCCTGAGGTTCTGAGTGTGCTGCAGAACGTGCCCAAGGCTGGGAGACCCCCCAAACTAGGAAGGTTTTCCAAATTAGGTGGGAGAAAGAAACGACCGTTGAGCAATTAAGCTCCTTCTGAATTTCCACCTGTCTGCAAACACCAATTATATCTCTTGAGCAAGGAACCATGATTTCTCCCCTCCTTAAGCCATGCTAGGTCTCATGCTACAAGCACTTCTGAGGAATCATATACCTGATTTCTCACAGGAAAAGCTTTACAATAATATTCCTAAGTTACCATGATCTACCACCTTCCTTCTCAAAATGCCTTTGACAAGAAGTGCTGGAATGGAGGCATTTCAGGGTCACCTGGTCTGAAACCCACATCTGTCTTTATGGCATCTCAACGTTACACAGAGTGGGGAGGCTTTATTCTTTTCATAAATTAGAAATAAAACTTCATGTTGGCTTTGCTATTTTGCATTTAAAAGACAAGCTGACTGATCAAAACCAGATCTTCAACACCCTTTAAAAATTAAATAAATAAATATGTTGCTATGCTTCGCTTGCTATACTCAAAAGAACGTATTTTAAACAGAATATTCTTTTCACTGTCAAAAGGGCTACGTTTTTCTTTGAAGGCCAAGACATTTCTGGTTCCCAACATTAAGAGCTGCTGTAGCACATTCAAGGGCAAAAGAAAGACCAAACAATAAAAAAAACCCCAAACACCACTGCCTGCTTCTGCTTGCTAGGATTAAATGGTCCCGTTCCCAGCTCACACACGGCGGCTCCGATGACAAAGACTGAATGTGTCACAGCAGCCTCTTCAAGTTCATCACCTGTGTGCTCCTCTTCTCCCCCTCCCTTGTTTGTTTTTTAACCAAAATTCACTCCTTTGCTTCTTCTCCAGGATTCTGTGGTTCCAATTTGCACTTTATCTTGCTCCAGTACTCAGGTGCCACAGGAGATTTGGGGTCATGTGCAGAGCAGCAGAGACGGCCGTCCAGCGCCGAGGCCACCAGGGCTCCCTTCTCGTGATCTTTGCAGAAGGAGTGTGGGCAGAACTCACAGAATGAAACTGCAGGATTGCTACAGACGTCACACTGATGCCACGGGCATTCCCACTTTCCTGAGGATGGGAGGGGAAGAAAGAGAAGAGACACAGGAAGCTGAAATTAGCACATCTCAGGGACAGCATTGGCATTTAACACCTACCCTGTGCTGTAATTGCTCTGATGAATGCAAAGAAAGTTCAGGAGAAGCAGCTCTTACTGCAGTTGCTGCTTCTCATTTACAAAAATCTGACTGGAAACAATTCTTACTCATTCTGCCATGTTTAGGCCTCACTTGGCTCAAAACGTGGCTGCAAGCATAACCAGAGCTTAAAATAGTCAGATCAACCTCCTCTGGCACTGAGACACCAGATGGAGGGTTTGTTTTGTGCATGTCTCTGATCTGTGACCATCTCATATTGATCTGGACACAGTACTGGCTCAGACAGGTATTTCCAAATGAAGTTTCACTTCCACTGCTCTGTACTTTAATGTAGAAGACTGATTGCAGTGGTTTTGAAAAACAAGAAATGGCTCAGAGAAGAACAAGTTACATCAGAACACGTTTGAGCACAAACCCCCCCGGCTCCCCAAACCATTCAGACGTGTGTACAACCCTGTGCTGAACTCTGAGTGCAAAGGTATGAATAGAGCAAAAAAAGAAAACCCAAAAGCTTCTTGCTGCTGTGTCCAAGCCTCACTGAACCCCTTTTTGGCTGAGATACTGCTGAGGAACAGCAAACACTCTCCTGCTCAGGGCCAGACCCGTGTCCCACAGCAAGAGCAGCACCAGCGTGGGACTCCAGAACTCCCAGTAAGTTGTAACCAGCCTGCAGGGCCAGGATAAAAAACCCTGAACTTAAGAAAAAAAAAAAAATCAAAGCCAAACGAAAGCCCTAACTCAAGTTGCTCTTGGTGCTAAGATGCTAGCATTGCTTTCTCCAGCAAATAAGCTATTTTGGAATGTGACAGATACGACTGCACTCACTGCAGCCTTTTGGTTCATTTAAACAGACTAATCTGGACTTCCAATTATTTTCACTAAAGTCTTTGGAATTGGGACAATTAAAGATATAAGAACTTTTAGAAAATTCTACATTTGGATTAAGATGGAGCCCAAGCTACAAAAACATATGCCTTAATATGGAGAAAGTCAAATGTAAAGTGCTTGTCATCAGGATACAGCAGAGCATTTAAACACATTTACTGATTAATTGAGCCCTATACACCATGTGCCTATGTCAGTGGTTTGAACAGTCATTTGATTTGCACTTGGTGACCTCGGGACATCAAGGTGACACTTATATTTCAATTAAAATAAGTGGAGGAAATTTGATCCAAGAAAGAGATGCAATGAGAACAGCACTAAAGGTTTACATAAAGTGTCACATGCCTCTCTGTCCATTGGCTCTCATCAGGAATGCTGCAACCTGATGCATTTCTAAAAATGAGTCCTTTTGCAAAAGCAAATAAGCTGCAATTACTGTAAATGAGCAATGCACTTGAGCTCCAACACTGCCTGGCTGCAGGATGGAGGTGAACAGGAATCCACACGACTGCTCTTACCGAAAGGTGGTTGAGTCAGGTTAAGGCATAGGAGGTGGTAAGCTTTGGGACAGTCCTTTTTATCACACATGACTAGTTCTCCCCCATCTCCACACTGGAAACAATTGTCTTCATGCATCTGCTTCTGCTCTGTTTTAATTTTCCTTTTCTTCTGTTTTAACTTTGCATTCTTCACCTTTTCCTCGTTTGCTGTTGCAAATGCTGTCTAGCAATGACAAAGATCACAGCATACAGTCACTTCATAAACCCCTCACATTAAAATTTATCAACTTCAGGTCATCATTTGACATCAGCTATGTACTTTAATTAAATCCACTCAAAAAAGTTTGGAAGCTGTAAGAGCCAGAAGCAGCCAGCCACATGTGTCTGAATTAACACAACTTGGTGAACTCCCCCCAGACACAACAGCACTTCAGAGCAGAACTGCAAAACCTTTAGAGACTTTCGAGGGTGGAAAATATTATGTGAAAAGTTAATAAGCCAGAAACCTCTCTTTGCCCTGCTCTCACTACATCTCCAGATTTGGGAAGAGAAGCTTCAGTTTTCACCCATGTACCTTTGGACGTACTCCCAGGAAACCACTGCAGTTTTCTGCTCCACAGTGACACTCAGTCCTGCCATTGCCCAGGCAATCCAAGTTGTAATTAAACGTTAACTCCATTCCTAAAATGTAAAGAAAAACAATTCACCCACACAGACACTGAGGAAAGTCAGGCTGGTGACAATGACATTTCATTAGCATTTATCTCTTCATAGCCTTTGAGATCTAGCAGCAGTGTTTCAAAAGGGCAAACCTGGAATAGTGCATTGATGTCATAAACATTGAAAGGAGGAAATTCTGCCCAGAACAGACCCAAAGAGCAGCTAAATTATCATATGGACCCAGTTAAAAGGGCAGATCAGGTAAAACACTTAGCACTGAAAGATAATAACCAACCAAATATTGGTCAAAGCATCAAGGCTACAGGAAGTGTTTACATGACTCAGAACTAACCCTGTACAGCAGCAAACCCTGCAGGCAGCTTTAACAGTAACTTTCAGCTTCAAACTATTTCTAACTATGAGATCACTGGCAAAACTGGAACTCAAATATTTGTCTTGACTCCAATGAATGACAAAGTTCCTATAAACATCACTGGTATTAAGTATCTTCAGAGAAAAAAAAAAAGTATACATGCAAAATAGTGCCATCTTCTTACCTGCAGGAATATCACAAAGAGCAAACAGTCCAACTCTAATGTCACCATTCACTGTCCATTTCTGTGTTTCACAGTTTGGATTGCAACTATGGTTCATAAAACGAGAATAATTCCCCTTGGGGCCCGCGTCGATGATCCGGTCCTGCAAACAGACACACCTGGTGCTGACAAACAAACTAAGGTCTCCTGCTGACAAGTGACTACTCATGGCTGAGGCAGCAAAACACCTGCTTATTTTAAATGAGTTAAAAGTGCTAAGTTTTGCCTGCAGAGTTAAGTTTGTGAAAAAGAGTTAAGGTTGTGAAAAAAAGTTAAGTTTGTGAAAAAGCCTCTGAATGTTGGTGTTGGCAGAGGTGAAATGGGCAGAGTGTACAGCCCCAGGCACAGGCTGTTTCATCTGTTCCCCCTTTCCACTCAAGAGAAACAGTTGTTACCCTACACTCAGGTAGGAGCCTGACACCAGCCATGCAGTGCTGCTCCTGCCAGCCTTTTGCCTCTAGTTTCAAGCACAAACATTGTTGACATTGAAGCAGACGTAATATTTACCTTTGTTACAGTCAACATATAAAAATTGGTCACGCTGTTTTCGTGTGCACGTTTGATCCTCAGCCTGCACTCTTCCTCGTCAATCAACTCGCCAACATATTCATTCACAAATTCACCCTGAGGAGTGAAAAAAAACCCAAACAGAAATCAGAGCTCCAGGTTCGCTGCTGCTGACACGAGACTGAAGGCAGCGCAGAACAAGCCCTTTCCTGAGGAAATGCACTTCTCTGCAAGGATCCCACCTTTTTGATGCTCCTTTTTGTCCTGAGCCCCCAGCCCCGCCGCTCGGTTTTGATGATCTCTGCGTCAGGGTAGAGCCTCTTGGTGAAGCACTGGTTCTGGCAGCGCTCGCCGGCCGGGCACACCTGGGGGTGGCACTCGTACTGCAGCATGCGGTTCAGGCACTGCGACTCCAGCCCGCAGGGGTTCTCATCAGAGGGCTTGCAGTTGCAGCGAGGGATCTCTGACAGGTCAGCCACCTGGATCTGAACCTTCCCTATCACCTTGTTGGACTGTGGGATGAAGCGGGGAGGGAATCAGAAGGTGCACAGGGAAGGCAGGTGGCGGCTCTGCTGCAGGGCAACCACCGCCAGAACGTACTGAGCGTGTCATCACTTCTCCTCTAGACACACTGCCAAGGCCTGTCACTGGACACTGTGGAAGAGAGTGGCCCCATCCTCCTGGCAGCCCCTGTAGATACTGATCAGCACGATGAGACCCTCCTGTCCCCTCTTCCCCAGGCTGAACAGCCCAAGCTCTCCCAGCCTGTGTCACAAACAGCAGCCCCTGCCACCAGCAGCAGCCACACACCTGTGCTTCCACTGATGGCACCTGTCACTCTGCTGCCAGCCCACCTGGGGACACAGACCCTTCAGGCAGACCAACAGCAAGAGATTTAAGCAAGCAACATTACAACTCCTGACTGCAGCCAGTGCAGCACCAGCCTCTCCTCAGTAAAATCACTGGTCCAGGAACTCAAAGCACACGATGTTTAACAAGTACATCACTGGGATTTTTTTCCAACTTAAAATAAAAC